TATAGCCCTGAACTTGCAAGCAAAGTGCGATGATAGCTTGATAAGCATGAGGGTTGTATGCTTAGATTGGAGATTCCTGGGTTGCAGAGGCCTGCTGCGTGTGTGACACTCCAGCTGGAGTTCGCAGCTGAGCGAATTGGTTTGTGATGAGACAGGTGAAAGAGCTTGGTCGCTTGGACATGCGACAGACGATGACATTGATGGGGGAAAGGTCTTGAACAATACATGCCCACAGGCCCATGGGCGAAGTAGACTCAACTACTTTCCACAACTCCACTGCCGGGACCTAGACTTTTGAGCAGTGTACCAGCTACAGTCGTTGAGCAGTGTGAGAGGCTACAAACCACGTTTGCCCCGAGTGCTTTGCCGGACCCTGAAATTTGACATTGGTAGGCTGTGTGAGGAAGGAGGGAGAGAGAGACAGAGAGACAGAGAGAGAGGCAGAGGGACAAAGACGGAGGGAGCTAGCCAGAGAGCAGAGATGGCCATGACTGGATGTCCTGTCCTTCTTCTTGATGAATCACACCACACTGATAGCCACCTGCCAGAAAGTACCACCGCCGGCTCACCAGATGGTCGGGTCGTGACAAACACCGAGGCTAGCGTGTGCTTCCCATGTGCCAAGAAACTGAAGGAGCGCCAATGTCCTTCCTGCGGTGATGTCCGACAGCCTGGCGATGTCCGATTCGCTGCACCTGGGGAGATCAGCATGATCATTGGATATATGTGAGTATTTGAATTCTATGATATTAGTATTTGTGAGTACATGGCTGCTGTTCACCTCAGAAGAGGTGGGCTTGTTGTTTGACCAGAAATCAGAAACCCTGCTTGGTTTGAGCTCTCAAGGTTGATCACAATGCAGAGCCATTGAAGCACTACCTAGCAGCTGCTGAGGTGGCCCCGCTGATGTTTGCATGGAGACCGAAGAAACTTGTTTTGTTGTTGAAACTGCTTTGCAATTCAATTACATGATATTGCAACAGCATTTATGCATGGTCTGAGAATCAGAGATGTTTGTTCCAACAAGCTTGGAACAAACAACTTCAGTACGTCAGTCGCTTTGAACCTAACTGCTAGTAACGGGTGCTTCGTCCAGATGGCATGGCTCTGAAAGGGGGACCTTGCCATCGACTGCGATTTCAGCCACAGGCACTTGGTTTGCTTCGCACTGTATTTGGTGTGCATTTGGTGCCGCCAGGCATGGGATGCTGCCATGGGTCTAGCCACACGCGCAGGGGAGGTGCTTCTTGCTTTCAACTTTCGGAGTAGCATTAGAGTGCGAGTTCACTTGTCCTATCTCCTTGTCTAGACAAATTGGTAAAGAAATCCAGCTGTACGACAAGCTTCGGAGGGCTATTTTTGCAGTATATTTCTTTACCAGAACCTTTATATCACATAATCAGTCAGTCGCTTCGTTATACAAACACCTTGGCTTATGTATTGGCTATATATTTATATTCACTTGCAGCTGTTTAAGCTATTTAAGCTCTTGCTGCCCGTCATTCTACCACATCGCTGCTTGGTTTCAAAGGGCGGGTTCGGAAGACTCATCAGACGCTGCAACATACTGCTGAAAAGCTTTAGCAGCAATTGTGTTTGTGTTGGCTGCTAAATATTGCAGTCTTGAATATGACGAGGCTTTAGAATCCTAGACAGCTTTGAGTTGTGAGGCCACTAAACAGTACGTTGCATGTGCTGTTGCTTTTCTTACAAAGTGGAAACACACTGTATACTGATATACTGTATTCTTATTCGATCTTATGATAGATTCTTATGTATTGCTTCTGATATGGTTGGAAACAACATTCACCTTGAGGGCCATAGATTTATGGTTCTTGCTTCACAAGGTCACTTTCATTCCAGACTGCTTTCGATTTTGGGATAACGGTTTCTTTTAAGATTTTAACATGCGAATGTATATGGGACATCACCAACCGTTGGCAGACGTTTAGCACCATGATTGCGGGCTACTGGTTCCCTGTGATCCACTCATCACAGGGTAGGTTCCCCGCGCTTTGCCGCCTAGGCCTGGCCATGTCGACTCCAGCAGCATGGCAGATTGACATGTTCATACTTTCATGTCAGTACTGAAAACGACAACGAACATGGAGGCATTCACATTGAGCAAGCGCCAAAGCATGCGATGACTCATTTAGGAAAGAGCGGTCATGAATTTCAGGCATTTGGCTAAAGCCTACAAAAGCGATAGGACCCCCTCTCAAGCGACAACCTTACCCCCCCCCCCCCGCAGCTTTTTGATATGTTCAGCTATGCTGACATTGTGGCTTAGACCGTAGACCTGCAAAGGTGAAGCGATAACCTTTCTGAATCACGTCCTCTACTTGACAGTACGTTTTAGCAGATGCTCACATGATTGGATGTTCAAAAGATCAAGAGCAGAGTCCTCATTCTCAAGCACATTTCTATACATGGTGTTTCCTCGAGCGGACTCACCGGGTTGCCAGATGAAGAAAAGGATAGAAAAGGAGAAAGGACAAAACCATTGAAGGTTAATTAGGACAAAGGAGGACAAAATAGGATAAATGATTATACTTGTTTCCAAAAGATGTTTTCTTTCTCCCAGGCGACAGGACCCAGCCAAGCTGCCGGTCCAAAAGCCGCCTCGGGTGCCTCCTCATTCTCACCCTCGACACCTCAGGCAGGCTTCGCGGCGCGCTATGTAGGAGGACGATGGAACATGTCAAAGATCCCTATTACTGTGCTTTGTGCTGGTAGGGAGTAATGGAAACTGTATTTATGTATGCTTTGTGCTGGTAGGCAACAAACTCCTCATTTATGTATTTAGGTATTGGAGTTTTCCCACATTTCTCCTCCACCGTCTGTCACTCTCCGCATCCGATCATCCTTCCGCCAGTCTGGCCAGTCTGCTGCTCCAACACCGCCGGCTTCATCACCGATGACAGCCCCTGGGCCACACCCGATCTTGTCAATGCTTTGAGGACCGATCTGGTGTATTCTTCTGTTCTGCAGGCCTTGTACGCTGAAGTCTAAGTCTAAGAAGGAAGGAACAGTGAAAGGTCGTTCGTTTCCAGTTCGATTGCTTCAAATTCCTCATACTTCCTCCATGCAGGAATGCTGAGTCAGGGTTGACACCAAAATCACCCTGACCTTCTGCTGAGGCACCCGTGTCAAGTGGTATCACGAGAGGCTCAAGCTTGGGAGTTTTTGTCGCAGCATGTTTGACCTCTTTCTTAATAAAGCTATATAGCTTTTTGTGGGATCTGTGCAGCTATTCCAGACCAATGAACGAGGAAAGCATCACACACTCCAGTCACTCCAAACCAGTGTTTTTTTTCCTGGCGTGCGACATGGAAAGCAGTTCCACAATACAGTGACATGTCGTGAAGTTTTTCGATTGGGGCATTCAAATGTTCTGTGTTTATTTTTGAATATAATTGGGATCATCGTATCGAGTGGGCATCTATTCATGCCTAAACAAGCACTTACAGCCGGTTGAAGGCCGCCAGTCAGACTAGCCTGTCTTCAGTCTATGCAGTATCTAATTATTGACAAAAAGAAAGATGAACAAAGGAACAAACAAAGAAGAACACCTTTTTCTTTCTCATGACAACCAGCTTCCGTTGTTCAGCTGCCAACCTCGCGACGCTCGCCACCAGCACCACTCTAGGCATCCAAGCAAAGGCTGAAGCACCTGCACCCAAGGCGTGGCCGGCCCACTCATTAGGGCCCAGGAGAGAAGCTTGCTTGAGAAAACGGAGAAGTCACTTGAGCCGTTTCAAAGGCTTGTGTTCCACCCTGACAGAAGAAGAGTATGGAATACTCCACCCAAGATGATATGCACATTGCTGACAAGCAGTCCTAGCACTACTGAAAGAAGAACAAACTGAATGATTCTTCATAGTTGTGACATTCTTAGCTTGGGATACATTGGGATGGTTGGGGCACCTTTGCACGATGTGCCGTGTCCTTTGGAGGCAAAGGCCAAGGCTAATATGGTGCCACCTGGTCGCCATGTGACCGCCTCGGCCAAATCCATGGGTGGTCCTCCGAGCACTGCAGCTGCAACGGGACCTGCACCACGACAGGTTGGGAAGTGGGTGATCTCGGTCGAGAAGATGAGCTGAATGATTTCATTCTTGCACGCTGCATGAGGGAGTAGACTGAGATGGAAAGTTTATGTTTGATTTTGACATTGATATTGGGACCTAGCGGCATAGCTGCATGCATTGCAGGTTCTGAACATCGTCTCTGGCAAACCTCAGCCTGGCGGTGTTGTTGGGAGCACGGCCAGTGCAGTGGGTCCAGCCCGTGGCTATGCTCAGGCCATCATGGTCCACTGAAACAAAGGGGTGCGTGCATGGATGTCCTGCTGCAGTCGTGCAAAGAGTAGTGGAACTGGCGCCATTCACACATGCCAGTTCCACTACTTGCAGTGTCATGAAGCCCTAAAGTGAAGCATAGCATTGCTACCCAATGTAAACTTTTTGTTGGCGAACTCGTGCTTTGAGGATCAAGTTGATGGACATAGTTTTCAAGCTCAAAAAAGATTGGACAGATCAGATCCCATCACCAAAATCACGGCAAAGGTCCAAAATGATCCTGACCAATTGGCCACGCAAGACGACCGAACCGCCCAGGCTGCTGCCAATGTGCTGCCGGGTGAGGCTCCCAAGCTTGGCCCAGCCGCAGCAGCTGTGGGGCGTGCCATGGCCGAGGCGGAGGGTTCGCCACGGATGACAGGAGTCGCCATGTATTTGTTTGTTCTGTCCTTTCCATTCTTCCGATATATAGTTCCCCTCTTCGGACTCATCCATTTGGCCATCCATTCCCAGAGCCTTCCAGAAGGGGAAGAATGATGAAGAATGGGCAGTCCTCGGTCGAAAGCGGTCAATCCTCGGTATCGAAGCGGTCTTGTTTCTAGGTTCAATGAGTCTCATGAGTTTGATGATGTCCCATGGCACTCATGATGCGGCGAATGCTGTGCAGGGACGATCCCCGGCGGTCTCAAATGCGGGGGGGCAAGCTTCGTGCTCCCATCAGCAAGAAGTATCAGAGTCTTGGCTCAGAGCACTGCCGCTGGAATCTTAGAAGATAATAGCAGACCGCTGCGACTTGATATGAGCCATCCAAAAAACTACTGGCAAGGTAGGCATGCAATTTGACCGATGTATCACCAAATACAAGTAAAAAAGATAAACATTCTGCTTCTCCACCACCTGAGACTTCTGAGGATCGTGTTTGTCACCAGTGAGGTGGCTCCATTCTCAAAGACCGGAGGACCTCTCCACAACTGGCAACATAGACGGAGTTATAAGTAAGCGCTGCTGCTTTGCAAAACCGGGTTGTGCCGTGCCAAAGGAGTTATAACAAGTTCAATCTTTTAAATGATTCAACTAAAGAAACTAATTGAACTAAATGTTCAGCCTTAAATGATCAAGTCTCTAACTTGTTCATTAACTTTATGCAGGCTAAAGAACTCAACTTTATCCCAGATGTCGGTGCTATTCACAGGACTTGGAGAGGCAATGGACGGTCTACCAATCGCATTGGCAGCTTTGGGCCATCGAGTCATGGTGGTTTCCCCTCGCTCGAGGGCCCGGAGGGCTGCCCAGAGGGCTGGTCTGGTATGGTCTGGTGGGGCTGTGCCTTGGTCAATGGTCAATCCACTTTTTACACCCATAAGCCCACAGATAGACCATAAGTGGGAAATTCACATCAACTTTATATAGTATAGTTATATACTATACTGATGTTATCTCCGGTCGGCTCCAAGCTCCAGCAGCACAACAGCTCCAGTCGATTCCGGAGCGTTTGCCTCTGAGGTTATGACCAATATGCAGAAGGGTGGGATACCAGCTATTGGAGCTCAGTACCCATGGGCGGCAAGCAGGCGCTGGGCTGGCTGAGCCACCTTGGTTGGGTACAGCAGCCAGGGTGTACTACCTCCATGGTGCTCTGATGTTTATTTGGGCACTTAGGGAACACTACCGGAGCTCAGGCCCGCTGAGTAAAATGAATCAACTACAAACGTATAGCGTTTCCGAAGTCGCACGTCGACCAACAAAAACTCATGTTTGGCCAAGTCGACCTTAGCCTGAGCGAAATCGCATCCGAGTGGAGTCTCCTTTGCAGGAGTCCGTCCACTTCTTCCACGCTCACAAGCAGAAGGCGGGTTGTCAACGGCCCATTCGCGAAGTGTCCGAGGTTCAGCTTGAAATGAATTGAAAGATAAAGGCCAGCCTTCAGCCTTCTTTGAGAATTGGTACAGCTCCGGTTTGTGGGGTCCTCTCTGAGAATTGGCCACAACTGCTTCACCTGTGTGTTGTGTTTCAGCAGCTGTTGGAAAATAAACACATATTGGTTTGAGTATTTTGTTCCTTGGTTGGTACTGTGGGGTCCTCAGGATTTGGATTCGCAGATCTGATCTACACAGGCATTTCTAACCAAACCTTACAGGAGTGGTATTGCCATTTTCAGAAGAGCAAAGTGGCCCAATCTTGGTTTTGAATCCACATTTGCTGCCAGGTGGACTATGTCTTTGTGGATCATCCCACATTCTTGGAGAGGGTGGATGGCATGACAGGCCTTTTGCACTTCGTTTGCCGATGGCACTGCCGATGGCTTTTATATAGTTTCGACAAGAGATTCTTGTCTTTTCGACTCTTACATATCCTTTTTCATAAGGGCAAGACGATTGTGGCAGAACACGACGTCGTGTTTGGAAGAGGGGACATGCAAAATTTCTTTCAACAGGCCATTAGTGGTTTCTGTGCTGCAGTGCTGCTTGCGGCTGTCACATCATAATGTTATAGTTATTGCCGTGTGGCAAAGATGCAACATGTATCAGAATCAACATTAGAATGTTTATAGGGGATGTGGGACGTTTTAGGAAGCATCGACTAAGTATTGTCCCCCATCCTTGCCGGTTGTCATTTTGACAAGCACCTTTTTGGGGGGGCTGTTGCGCAATATTGATTTGGCTCACCTCTCCTTTCCAAGAAAAAGAGCCAAGCTCTGGAGCTCTCGTTGGCCATTCGTCAGGTGCCAAGCTCTATGGCCCCGAATGGGGGAAGGACGGGCTATTGCCACTCCATGCATGTTCAAAGCTCTTCACCAGAGCGAGAACCTTTGGGGATCATGTGGTGTAAGCAAAGGTGTACTTTGCTTTTCTATGGTCATATTGACGCAGGTTGTATAGGCCAAAACTGCGGGCATCGTAGCTCCCTTGGGTCACCAAGCATGATTCAGCATGTGAGCAAACATGAGAGAAGCACACACACACTCCAAGTCTCATCCAAAGTACTCTTTGTTCTGCACCATTCTCCCCGACTCTCCTAGCCTGAGGGTACCAGATATGCTGGAAGCACAGTGTGGGTTTTCAGGAAAGCTTGGTTGCCAACAATTGATGCATAGAGTTTGCTTTTGTTTTTCACCTAAATTGTCATGGAGCCTCAGTCTAAGTGCAGAGCATTCAAGAGGTGCGGATGCCTCGGTCTAAGTTGATTGAACATCCACGTGGTCTAGGCCCTGAGTTGACCAGGACTTTGCAGACAATCAGGCACGCTTTGCCTATTTCTGCAAAGCTTCCCTGAAAGCCATTCAGGCCAGTGAAGTAGTCTTGTCACACTCCACTTTGTGTTGATGTCTTTTGCTTAGCGAGAGATGCGACAGGTTGCATGTAGAAGTGTTTCACGACAGAAGCAAACATCAGACATTTGATCGCATTAACTTTGGTGGATTTTTTGTTTATTGTCTTGTGTGGACAACTTAGCAAATCGCCGCTTTGCCAGGAGTTGGCATTGGGAGGAGCAGCGCCGCCAACTCAGAATCCGCTGCAGATGCCGTGTCACCTTGACATAACTCCTTCCTTTAGATCACACAGATATGCAGTACTAGTCAATCATTGTTGAGCTCATTTGTGCCGGTTGCTTCTGGCCCTTGCAGCTGGATGGTGAAATAGGCGTTGTCTGTGAGGTCACAGTCGCTGACAACAGTTTTTTGTGCCGCCAAGATAACCTAAGGTATGGTGGCAACTGCGTGGTAGTGGCAAATGACTGGCACAGTGCTTTGGTGCCCATGCTGATCCATGCAGAGAAGTCTGTTCAGCCAGGCAAGCTTCCGTTTGATCGCATGAGCCAACTTAGCTGCCATGCAGTCTATGACCTTACACAGAACAACTTCAGCAGCACTTGCATCATTCTCAAGCATGCTGCCATGATTGCTATCGCGTTTGTTGTGTCAGGCAAATGGAACAACACCAAGACCGTCTTCTTGTGCCACAATGCAGTGTTTCAGGGGCGTTTCCCAAGGGAAGAAGGAGCCGCAAGGGGGATCTTGCATGCTGCCGTCAAACAAAACATGATGTGCTTGCTCTTACTGTGCCATTTGCTTCGGGCTTGTACGGTAGACTGCAAACCCTGGGTTTTGATGCTCTCTTTTTGCAAGCTCCTTCAAGACATCCTCATCAAGAACAGACATGAGTTTGCTGCGACTAGTAGCAAGAAGCTACTAGTAACTAGCTAAGGGCATTATACTAGCAGTAGCAAGAAGCTACTAGTAACAAGGGAATTGCTATAAGTAACAACGGCATTACCGGTAGTAACAATTTGACCTGGAAAATTCTGTGTTCAGCTTCTTAGAGCTCCCAAAGGTGTTGAGCTGTTTAGATCTGAAGCCACGTGAGGACTGGCCAGCATCTTGGGGGTCCCAGACCGCTACCTCGACAGCATTACTTTCAAGATGCCTTTGCGCATTGGCAAGTACAATGAGAAGGCAGGGCTCGTTGAACAACCCATGTCTTGCATTGTCTCGTGGTTTGAAATTCTGTTGATTGAACACTTTCAGCTTATATCATTTTTGTTGTCGTTTGTTTACATCCATTTTCAGTGTAATGTGTTTTTGGGATTGGAATTGGCAACCAGTAGTGTCTCAGCGTGCTTAGAGGCTTAGAGAATAACGTATCAATGTATCAATGCAGAACATTGTGTAGAATGATTGACAGCGGCTACGTGTGGGAGCACTATGTTGACATGCCATTAGATAGTATTTACCAACCAATTTCGCCCAGATTCAGGGGATGAACAATGATAAAGATCTTTACAACTTAGACCTGGGACTTCACACCATCGAACTGTTCCCACCTGGCATGAACTGGGAACCAACGTGTCCCTGCAGGTCTCCTGCATCAACACGATGTCAGCGGGTCTTCGATACTCTGACAGAGCCACAAAGCTGGCATGAACGGACGGTCGACGACGTGTTTCATGTCCGGAGAAGTTTTGTTGATTGATAGACGTATTCTATAAGAACATCATCTCTAGAGTTGTTGAAGCACTCACAGTTGCACAACTATTCAGAGGTATTCAGAGTGTTCATTCTAGCTTGTGTTGCACACTCACTATATATATATATATAAGTACATAGAGAGAGAGAGAGATCGGACTTTTGCAGCGGTATTAATGTTGCATTTGATCGTGTGGCGTGCCGCTCATCTTGGGAATACCACATTGACATGACGGTTCAAGTTCCATCCTAGGCAATCACGGTGTCTCCGACTTATGCGCGCGAGTGCGTAAACAACCCAGAGAAGGGCGCCGAACTGGAGGCGAGAGCATGAGTCATTTAGAACATCCTTCGTTTCTACTAGTAGCTTCTTGCTACTAGTAGCAATGCCCTTGTTACTAGTAGTAATGCCCTTGTACTTGTTACTAGTAGTAATGCCCTTGTTACTAGTAGTGATGCACTTGTTACTAGTTTGAGGTGTGGCCAACAATGCTTTGATCATTGATCTAGTTCTTTCCAATCGCAGGTTAAATGACCATGTTGTTTTTTTGTCCGAATGTCATCGTGCCTTCCAGGATGTTGTCTCTTTTTTTCTCATGTTTTCTCTGTCGATGGGGAATGCCAGGATGTCGTAAGTTGCGTGTGAGACATGCCATGGCATTTGCAGGCACTCTTTCACCTGGCCAGGTGCACAGGAGACTCGGTTGCGGCCGTCCGGTCGGTTGCATGAATGATATTGTCCTCAGACATCTACGCAGCAATAAAACAACCCTAGTAGATCCTAGTAGAGTTGATATATTATCAGGAGGGAACTGATCCAAGCAAATTGCAATGAATCTCGTGAACCACTGCGGACACTTCTAATTACTCGTAGTAGGGAGTGCATTCACCACTGTCTAGACTCCTACAGACCCTTGTCATTAAACTGTTTCCCTCAAAATGCAATTCTCCAGCTTTTCTGCGTTTTCTGGTAATTTGTTGAGTGATTTCCTTGTGACCAGGAATCCTGAATGGAATCAAAGAAGGTGTATCGCCAAGCGACAACAACTTCGCGCCCTAGAAGCATAGAGTGAAGAAAAAAAGACCGGCGATTGAATGTTAGGCACATTGACGACGTTGAGCCGAGGTTATGAAGACTATGATGACCTGTGGAATGTACAGTGCCAGAAGCCTCAAACTAGTGCCGTGAAGGTTGTGTGTGGTGACGTGCGAACTATGTTGTTCCATTTGATGAGCAAACTTATGAACCTTGTGACAAGTGGTCGTGTAGTCACCCAATCACTCGATCTTTATAGACAGGTGAACTATCTCAGATTATTGAATGTAAAGATGTTGGTTGTGCCAACATTTGGTATACTATAAGTAACACACATCGACCTGAGCTTTGCTCAACTTGAACCGGCTGAGGCAGACACCTGTGATTCTGCCAAGTCCGAGCTGAAGGCTTGGCCGGGGACACGTCCTGTGCGTCGCAAGATGAACATCCCCCAGCCAGTGGTTGCTTCTTTCTACTGGGGAGTACACCCCATTTGTGAAACAACAGGTATATAAATAAGCATATTAAATACACGGACACATTGACCGGCTCCCTTCCTTAAAAAAACGAAAAGAAAAACAGCCGTTGTTACAGACCCGATAGAAGCGAAGGCTTCAGACACAAATCAAGCTAAAGAAAAGATCGGGGGAGAGATGCAACTTATCAGTTGATCAATGCGTCAATCAAAAGTAGATGTAAATAGCCCCCCGCGCTGCTTTGTCCAAACTTTGTAGCAAAGAACTCCAACACGTCCAACACCATATGTTTCCATTGGTCAGGAAAGACCCGTTTCCATATTATGTCTTCCATTATGCCCGTCCGACTGGCGCAGATGGCCTACCGTGCGCAAAACGGTTTGCCTTCATCGAGTGGTCCATTGATGTGTTTTATTGGAAGGCACACAGAACGGACGTTTGGGGCACAGAACGGACGGGCGGGGCACAGAACGGACGGCTGGGGCACAGAACGGACGGTGTGTTCAAATCAATCAAAATAAAAGCTGGCTCCCAAACAGGCCCGACAACCAACTGGTGGGGTCTTGGCAATACTTCGTAGCATCACTCCAACTCGAGTCAGGTCTCGAGTAACTTGGTTGAAGCTACGGAGGATTGGGTGTCTTCAGGTTTCAGCAGGCCTCGTTTTCATGGCCGTTCCTTGTTACTACACCTCTCCCTATGTATTTGCGTTTGATGCCAATGGATATCATAATCACATGATAACATGCCTCACACTTGAGTTTGGCTGATGCTTGACTCAGACAAAGATCGGAACATTTATTCCCACCCGGCCAAAGAAAGAGCTCGGACGGCACATTTACTGTAGTGGCTATGCATCATCAAGATATTGAATTTGAATGGAATAGAGTGGTGGCGTGGAGGGGGAACACTTGGTGGCCACGGAGCCCCAAAGATAGGCAGCACATGTGCCGTCCGAGCCTGGAAAAGGCAACTCGACAAATCTCTACAGACATGGAGATTGATCAGAGCGAACCCATTGTTGTGTTTGCTGGAAATGAAGCCAAGATAGGCTTGATGCTCAGAAAGGCTACGACATTTTGCTGGATGCTTGCATTGTTTCAGAAGGCTTTGTTTAGTGCTGTGACTGTTCCCATTTCAGGATGCTTTGTCATAGTTCTCTCGGTGGGGTCACACCACCACAGGGAGGACAGAGGCAATTTCATAAATGCAAAGCACACCTTGTAAACGTGATGCTCGTCAGCAGCAGGGGAATTCTACAAAACCAAAATTGATTTGAATCCTGGATCACGACCAGCCGCCCAGCCCTGGTCATGGCTGGGCCTTTTGTCTTCATTTGTCTTCCATTCTCTTCCCAAGGATGCATTGACCAAGATCTTGCCAGACACAGAGATGCAGATGGTTGTCGTGGGCGCAGGTCGTGCAGACCTGGTCCAACAGTGGGGTAGCCAAAGTGCTTGTGCAAACACGACCAAGCAGAATGTCTTGGGGGAGTTCTTGGGGGTTGGCAAACTTTGTGACTCTACTACAAGATACTACTAGCTTGGAGGCCATTGCTAGTAGCTTGGAGGCCATCGCTATGGCCTATGGCCTCCGGCCGTTGCTAGTGGGTTGGATGCCAGAGAGTGCTCAGACACCCAGTTCATGGACGAGCGTTGCTTGCTGTTCTGAGTTCCGTCGCTTGGAGTTGTCGCATTGAGGACAAAAGCCTTGGAAAAGAAGCATCCAAGCAAGATCTTTTACGCAGGTGGGCGAATCGTCGCGGGGACCGAGCTAGTCTCGGGGACCTGGCACCAGCTCATGGGTTGAATCCAGCTCATGGGTTAGAAAAGGCAGGACAACATCGAAGGTTAGATCAAATATGTGACATCCTTACGGTCCTTGCAACACACCAGTCACAGCAGTCAGCCCACTGTTTTCTGCCAGGCTGGATGGGCCCAGAACGCTACGCACTGCTGGCTGCCTGTGACTACACGCTCTTGCCATCCAGGCATCGTGGAAACGGCTCGGGCAGTTCGAGCGCCATACGAATCTCCAGATGTTCCACGATTGGGATCTCTAGCACACTTCTTGGAGGGCTCGATCATTTAGGACCAGCAAGACCATTGTGGTCGTTCGTGACACGAGGGATTCAGCCTCATTGGATCAACGTGAGGTGGGAGCCTTGTGGTTTGGTGCAAATGGAAGCGATGCGTCCCTCAGCAGAATTCGCATTCTTTTCGGGGGGTTGAATTCGTTTCTTCCGTTCACTTGTTGGATGTTGATCACTTGTTGCGAGAAGATGCCTCGGTGCGCCACACATCGTCTCGGATCCGAGGCTTGGGCACCTTGCCCATCGTAGCGCCCACCGGCGGCCTCAAAGACACCGTGGAGGATTGGATTTGAAGTAACTCTTTTGGGAGACCGGAAAGAGTGAGAGACTTTTGTTGATAAAACTCACCCTGAAATTAAATGGTGATGCTTTTCTGTTGATTAATAGATTAATGCAAACAGAATCTTGGTGCATGGCCCGTTCCTAAGGGTCAACGTCGCCCTTGGAAATGTCAAATTTGGACATAACAAACCTTACAAAAAGCCACCTGTGGTGGCGCAAGCATGTCACTGGTGTTGCATTGCGTTTTTGACATATTGCCTGTGTCACATCACGTCCCATATAGAATCACACTGAATCACTGGACTGACTCATTTGCAGGACGGAGTGAATGGCCTTTGGACCGATAAAGAGATGACCATTGAGGCAATAGCAGATCAGGCCGGGATGCGTGCAGTTTCAGTCCCGCTAAATAGTGTAAGTGTTCGATGTTTGATTTTCGCATCGTGTCCCTGTCACTTTCTTGCAAAAGGCTCTACTCATCTCTACTCCTCTCTACTCCACTCTTTTGAGTTGCCACATGTAGTTGCCGGATTGACAAGAAGATCATGTTGCAGGCTTCGGTGGACTCGCTTTCCAACACGCTTCAGCATGCCGTGAAGCTCTTCCGCGAGAACCCTCCAAAGGCTCTGCAACCCACTGCCGTTTGTTGCAGAGAAACACGTTTATATATTAAGCATGGCTTGATTTGTTAGACACTGTGCACCACTTGTTTTTTACTGCCAACTGCCGGATACATCAAGACATTACTGGAGAATACTGGAGATCCTGATAGTTTACTATATATATATATACATTTGAGTTTATTTGAGGCAGTGTGTGCATTGTTGATATCCCTTACAATATATAATGTTTGCTGATCATATTTGAGACTCATAGATTGTGACAAGCACTCACAATAATTTATGATATGCACCGAGTCACTTCGGATCGTCATCGGATCATCGATGTCGGAGGTGGTGGACATGAAGAAGGCAGCAATGGCAGCGTCGCAGGAGTTCACTTGGACGAACGCAGCGCTCCAATACGAGGTAACTGGACACGGACGCAGCGCTCGTGTTGGTTTCGGGTGGTAAGAATTGAGCAAATCCTTTTGGAGTCGCTTTTTGACCAGCAATTGAGCCAACAGAACGAAAAGGCCGCCAAATTCTTAGAACACGTCAGTGAAAGCTGCTTGCAACATCTTGCAACTACCTCTTTCCCAAAAGCTTCAGAGGGCATTCTTTCAAGTCCTAATGTGTTTGTGCATGCAGAAGGACACTGGATGCTGCTCAACTTCTCTTTACAACTAAGTTACTGGATGCTGCTATCTCCGGATCTCCTTCCCTGTCTTTGTGACTTAATATAGATGTCATCGGTGACCAAGACTGGCGATGCGTGTGACACAAGACTGCCTGATTTGGTGCAGGCAGTCTTTCAAGAGCTGGGTGCGACGGATGTGCTACCTTTATGTGGCGGTCAAGCCACGGTCACCCTGGAGGTAGACAAACAAGTCTGCTAAAGGCTGGGAGGGACGCCTGGACTTCGAAGAGAAAACAACGGAATGAAAGCACAAACTGGAACAGTCACACCACTTAGCCCTTTGGATGCATTTGGAGCATTTGGATGCCTTTTTCTACGCGATACATCGACAGCGACCAGGACCAGCGTGACCAGCAAATCCCACAACCGAATGCTCGGTTTTGGAAGACGTTGGAATCTGAGAGCAACTTACTGATTTGTTGGTCATTCCACGAGTCCTGTAAATCAGAGTCGTCATCACTTTTAGATAGATGTTTGGGACGGGGATAGCTCCTTTCAATCAGGATGTTTGAACAACAGTTTGCTCCAAATGAACATCGATGGTATGTCGTTGGCCTCGCTGAAGCCATGGCATTGTCTCATTTTGGGTGTCAGACTGAAAAGGTGTGGACCACGCCAGCCACAGCTTTACTGTACAGATTTGGCAATGAATCTTAATTATTCGACAGAAGTGCCGGTAAATATATATATATATATTATATTGCTTCGAAATTGCAACAAAATCATTCAAAACAAGCTCATCGCCGAGCCGCTCTTCCTCATGCATAAGCACTGGCACGTTTCACCTTTTTCAACTTTTGCCTCGCATCATTTTGCGACTTCCCAAAGTGGAGGGAGGCAGGCCGAGGGTGGTGCTGGGTCAGTGATGGTGGATGTGGACACTATGTTTGTGTGATTGGAGGTAAACAAGCCAACTGCTCTTTGTAGCCTTTATTTGCCTTCAAAAAAAGATATAGCCATCGCATGCCATAGATTAGATCAGTTTAAGATCACAGAGGAAGAAATCCTTTGGTTTTGATGGCAAGAACCTGCATTCAGCCTTTATCGCATCCCCAAATCACAGGGATTGCTCATTGCTGGACACGATTTGCATATTTGTGTTCCAGCCTGGCTTACACGGTTTGATCAGGTCTTCATGGCCGGAAGCCAGGCCGGGGGAAGCCAGGTGCCTTGCCCGTGGAAGTTTGCCAAACGCGCGCGCGCGCGCAACGCCGGACCAGCAAGACTAGTCAGACTGCCGGAACCAAACTGCACCGGACAAGTGTTTTTCAGTTGCGATGTGTTGTGCAAGAGCAGCATGCAGGTGACACACAAAGCTGCCAGCTGTCGACAAGGACAGCCATCAGCTTTGGTGTTTTTGCTTGGCCTCTTGCAGTCAAAAGTGTGCCCACATGAATCCAGATGCCAGACTTTGCTTTGCACCAATTAGCACAAAGGGATGGTGTCAGTTTGTTGTTTTTGCTTTTGTTTTGCATACTCCAACAACGGCCGCTGCCGCTGCTAGTGTCTCTCAAGCAAACAAATAGCAGCGCTTTTCAGATCTGGAGATCAGGAAGCATGTCTGCTCCTTC